TCTCCATGGCCCGCCGCCACTCGCTCGGGGGTGTGATTTAAAGTGTAAACTTAAATATTCCAGTCGGCGGCGTCGTGCAAATAGATTCAATATTAATGGAGCTTCAACGCCTACGCCGAAGGTGAGGAAATTCGCGCCAACACGCCGTGGCTTTCATGTTCGCGCCGCGGAGAAGTATCGAGAGAGTGGCTGAAATGCCCCCGTCAGAGAGCACGGAGATGACCGGTGCCCGGGAATTTTCTTCGGGGCAGGTTTGCAGAAATATAGAAACGTGCACTTACCTGGAATCCTTCTGGAGTATGCGCGTGTAATTCTTACGATGTAAATCGAGGATTACTTGAGTGCACTCTGAAAATTCTCGCTGTAAAACAGGGCCGCTCACGCAGGCCTGTTACGGGCGCCCGCCGTTGCCCGCGGGCAGTTGCCTGCCCCAACGCTGCCCTGCGGGCAACTTGCCGAGCAGCTCTGCCCTAGATTCTTCTCCTGTTACATCTACCGCAATACTTTCAGGCGACGTTACCTTAGTCGTAGAGAAGATTCCACGCTCGTTGCTCGTCTCCTGGAATCACACCGTTCACCGAGCTCTAACAGAAAGGAAAGAAGGAAACGGTGCACGTAGAGAAAGAAGAGAAACCGGTGGTTAGAGAAAAATAAAGGAAGCTTTATTCTTTACATACCATAGCAGGCGATACGAGTCGATGGCGCGTCAAAGTCCCCGGGGCGGTCTCCGTTCCCCGTGACGTTGGCGCGCCCCTCGACGGATACAAACGAATATCGGGAGGAAGATCGGGGAGACGTGGGGCGAGGAAATACGGCGATTCGGTAGAGGGTTCTTCCTGGGGTCGTATCGTACACACTCTCCTCTCTCTCGATGCTGTCCCTGGTGACTTGGTGACGTGGTCACGCGAGGATTGCCGCCAATTTGTGCAGGTTCATGATGGTGGTCGCGTCACCTGGTTGCAGCCTCAACGCCTCGCTGTACGCGGCTGCCGCCTGCTTGTATTTGCCGTTCAGGTGAAGGATCGCTCCGAGGTTCGTGTGACTACGCGCCTCGTGTGGCCTCAGGCTGGCCGCGTGCCTGTACCACACTTCCGCGTCCTCCAAACGGTCCGCCTGGCGTAACGCGGACGCCGCCGCCATCGACAGCTCGTAATCGGATCTGGAAAGTTCCGCAGCGCGGAGCTGCTCCTCCGCCGCCTCTGAGAGCCGACCCTGCGACGTCAGGAACAGTCCTGCAAAGCCACACACCACCGTGAAACTCCGGGGGGAACCGAAATTTCCCTCACTCTCGAGGGTTCTAGAGGAACGTTCTTTGGCGTCTTAGGCGCTTCGATGCTTAACCATTTCGCTGCAAGATATATTCCTCTAATAGACGGAATCAAACGAATCATTTTTCCCTCGAATATATTTTCGTACTTGATAATTTCACCGAGGGAACGCGATCGTAGTAACGGGAGGAAAAATATTTCCAAGAGAAATCTCGCTTTTACTCCGAAAGAGAGATCCACGAATAACAAATTACCATCTGGAAACATAATACCGACAAAATTACTCCACGATTAATTAGAGCAATCTACGAGCGTGAATAGCAGCGTAACGGTCAACCGGGATACGTTGAACGATATCAACGTTTGCCAGGCGAGGCACCCTCGAAACTTCCCGGCAAAACTTGGCTTGGGTCCTCCTCCACAAGTCCCTGCACGATATATAACATTCCACGAACCGCTGCCTAATGACGTGTGCCGCTAAGAGAGATAAAACGCGCGGGCGTTTTTTGCGTGGCCGGGGAGTAAAAATCCTGGCCAGAGAGAGTACGGCAACCCTTTTTTTCTCTTGTTTTTTGGCCGCTAGACTAATCCCGACCGCAGAGAATCGGCTGACCGTCCATCGACCAGCGGTCCTCCTCCCCTCCTCGATGCAGAAAGGACAGATTTTGAAAGAGAGGAGACGAAGAGCAGAGGGGAGGTACGCGGAGAGAGAAAAAAGGACGATCAGAGAGAATGTTGCCAAACCAAGATCGAGGAATGGGGCGAGGGTTGAATGCAGTCTGCGAGAGGGCAAGCGTGAACGAAGAATGAAAGGAGAGAGAGAGAGAGAGAGAGAGAGAGAGAGAGGAGCAGGCGACAGGAATTGCGACGCTTTTGCTGGAATTTCAATACCCGTCGATCTTGTCACACTTCTAACGTCCCCAACGTTTCCCTCTGGACCGTCTCTTTTTTTCGATTAGCCTGCTCCCCTCGTTCTCGCCGTGTTTCAACATGGGCGAAATATTACACCCGGTATTTACAGCGAAGGAATCAACGTGATCCTCTTATCTTCTTCTCGCATTAAAAGGATCCTACCTTCTACCTATCGATGTATCCCGCGTAATCTCCGAGCTACTACACCTTTACACACTCTACTTTCCTTGCTACGATACCGAAGGAATTTGTAATGTCCTCTTACGGCACACCGCGCTGAAGGAATGAATTGTATCTGTGACACAGGACGGTGTGTACAAAGGGAAACCTTGTTCAGAGGCCACTCCAATTTCTCTGGCGAAACAACTACCAGCGCAAGATCGAGTTTCCTTGTTTTAATAACGAGCTAGTCCCTTCTCTCTCTCCCTTGTCGTTACGCGAACGGTTGTATCGTACGTCGATGTGAGGAAGTCAGGGTTGAAGCGGTTGGCTCGATTGTCCGACGATTGTTTCGTTAATTGAGACCGATTATACGTACCGTAATGATGGTGCACGCTCGAGTCATCCGGCGCTAGCCTACGCGCCCTCAGGAACCACCTCTCTGCCTCCAGCACGCGACTCGACTGTGGAAGAAACCACAAAAACCGGGGGAATCAGTAATCGAGATGAATATTGGGGACGTTTCCAAGTGATTCTTTTAGACGACGCGAACGATCGAGTGAATTACGGTACGAACAGATGCGGCAGGTTTTTAAAGAGACGTTTACAGACATTTTTGGCAAGAGCTGCTACTCTGTGTTGGAGAAACGGAATAACGGGAATGGAGGACACTCTAGTTTAGCCTGAAGTCGCGTGAAAGATGAAAATGCAATTTGGACGCGGTTCGTTGGTTCCGTGACGCGAAACGGGCGCGACATTTATCGGTGAAACGTTCAATTACGCCGGACATCGTTTACCGGCATTGACTTTTCATCGACTCTTCCGGTGGACGCGTGACGCGCATCGTATAATAATTTACGCGCGAAAACGGGCGTCGCGCGGCGAGGAAAAGCGCCAAGTTTCTCTCGGGGAAGGAGGAGCGTAACGAATCGAAGAGGACGCGTTCCCCAACCTCTGGTCCACTTCACACCACGATTCGAATAGTCTTCGATTTCGCGAATTTCTCGAAGGAAAAAAGAAATATCCAACGAAAAGGAATATTCGTTTAAATATCTACAGGATGCCGTTACAATTTCACCGGGCTATAATACACGCACGGCACAAAATCAGCGAATTAAACGAAATTTCATCAACCATGAAGCGAACAATCAATTTCAAGTAATTTCGCAATAGTGTCCACGGTACAATGTAGCCGCGCGAAAAGGGCTAATGGAAAATTGGTGATTCGGTGATGTTATCATCCCGGAGACAATCAACTATATTACACGAGTATCGCGAACGAAATTTCCATTTGGAAAATTTATTTAGTTCACGTGTACAAAACGGATGAAAAATTCATTCCCGAGGAGAAGTACACCAATCGTGTCACTGCGTTGTGAATAATTTAAACAATCGCGGAAATATCATTTTCGAAAAGAAAACTACTACAGGTTCGTTCAGAGAACGAGACATGCATCGTGTGTGTGTGTGTGCGAAGGAAGAGAGAGGGAAAACATCGCGCGTCCCGAATCTCTCTCAGTTCAGTGAGCGTAATCGTTGGTCGTGTTAGATATGTTTTCAGGAGAAATACCGGTTTCCGGTCAACGATTGGCTGGCCCCCGGAACACGAAACGGTCAGTGGATCGAGCAGAATCAGCTTAACTGCACGCTGTTTCCCGTCGGCGGGTTCCCTTTAAGTGATGTGGGTCAGCCGATTCCCCGGCCTATCGTGTTCGATCCACGCCGCGGCGCACCAAAATAGTACTAACTACTTACGTGCCGAGTCGAAGGTTTGCTAAGTGATGTAGGTCGCTACGTGGACGGACTCGACGAACGAGAGCCTGCAATCCCGGTGATCGGCCCGCGATGTTACATCCTTTCATATTCGAGCAACTTTCGTCACGATCTCCTGTCTCTCTTTTCATTTTCAGTTCGTTTGTATCGTTGTACGTATGTCTGTGTGTCACTGCAGATTTAGTATCTTTTGAGGAGTTCAGAGGAACAACGGTTGGACGTTTCTTGTGAGTAATTTCGTTTATAAATTTTATTTTAAACGTGGTTTAATTTGGAGAGTGAATGTTAATTAGAAGACGTACTTGGTTGAACCCTGTTGGATTATTACTGATAATAATGCGTCAGCTAGTGAGCAAAAATGAATTCTGTTATCCTGTCCATCTACCTGTTATCCAATCCTGGTCTCTTTTTCTTACCAGACTTTCTGTCGTGCCCTTGCGGGGTTTATCCTTCACTTCGACTGCGATTTTCGAAGCTTTAAGACGTCCTTCCGCGCCAAAGAAAATAAAATACGTTTAAGAAAATTCGCAGTGAACACCATTTATCTTAACCCATTAATCCAATAAGCACTGTTTAATGTGAAACATTTTTGGAAGTGACGTGGTGTAAAATAATTACTCGCGAAGGTTGCTTAACAGAAATATACATTTACCTAAATCAGATAACGCTTAAACTGATTTTAAAGTGTAGGCGACACGATGCATGTAGGAAGAATGTCCACGACAGAAAGGCTCCCGTAAGTAGCTCCTTTTTCCCTGGGAAAGTCCCAGGAAGTGGGGGCGCGGGCCTGCATTGCGATACTCTTGCCCTCGAGGACGAAGAAACCCAGAGATGTTCGCCTCGAGGGCCAAGATTCGCTAGGCCTCCCGTGGCGGTCGCCACATATTTCATTTTTAAACAAAGAAACATGTATGATCTTGGGAGAAAAGTGAGTTTTTCGCGAAAGAGATTTGTTGATTTCGGTATTGAGAGAGATATTGATTATGGACGATGAGAGTAGTGTACGTAGATAAAAGTATCGTATCGTTCAATATTTTGGGCTAATGAAATATCGATCAGGGAGTGAAAATTTCTTGCAGCGAGACGAAGAAAGAACGAAGAGCGCAAGATGAACGACTCCAATGTTAAAAATGAAAACGATTAAATAAACAATTCCAGAGGTGGAAACTGTAATTGGATTAAAAGAGCGAGTGTTGTATTTTCATCCGAATATCAATTTGGAAAATTTCTCAATAGATTCGTAACGCTTAATTGAGCACGACTATCGCACGATTTCACTGCTAATAAAATTACTTTTATTCATGCTTCCGTTATTTGCACGTATTAACGAGACAAATATAACTCGTAAAAACCTGTAGCATTGTTAGGTTTTTGCTCTACTGTGGATATTCACTGTCGTTTTCATCCGCCAAAAATAACCCGCTACGAAATAAAACAACAGGCCGGATTGTATTCATTACCCACGCAACGCTAGCAAATTTTCCGAAATCGCTTTTTCCCAGGAAATCGGAAAAACATTCATACCCT